CGACGTCTCCCCTCACCCACACCTCCATTGTCCGCCCCCCCAGGGAGGAGGTTATATGTAGCTCTTTGTAAGCGAGAGAGAAGCCCTGCCTTAGGAAGTTTACAGACCCAGGATCTATGGAGGATATCTGAGGAAGGAAAGACTAGTTTCACATTTGGACATGTAATTAACAATGGTATTAAATAAATGGTATTAAACAATGGTATTAAATAAGCACTTTTAATAAATGTTTCTATGATATCATAGCAATGCTTTTTGACTTAGCTTCATATTGACGGCAAATACTATTAAATGTACATTATTGTTAAACCTTTTGATGCAGTCAAAAGGAAAATGTGTTCTCAGATATAGGATGTTAATTTGAACTAAATAAGTTTCTTTATTTATTGATATAAACTAGGAGTTGGCGACATCTCAGATTTTTTACCTTCTACTTTATAGTTGTTAATCAATGGACTTGTCTTTGCCTTAGACAAATGTGTATGTATATGTTAGTCTGGGTAGACTAGAGAAACAAATGCATAGATACTCATGTGTGTATAAGAAGTTTATATACAAGAGCAATAGAATATTGAGAAAACATCGTAGCCCAGTCCAGATCAAGTCCATAGGTTTGATATTAGCTCACGTGTCCGATAGCAATCTATAAAGCCCTCTTCAGACTCATGAAACACTTGCAATGACGCCAAATGCAGGACAATCACAGGCCAGTGGGTGGCAGGTCTTGTGGATCCAGTGACGGTGTAAGCATCTCAGTGCTGGCAGGGGTCTCCACATAGCTTCTTAAATTCCCAGGGCACGGGTCTATCAGTGTAGTGCCATGTGTCTTGTCAGTGGAGTGTCTCTCAGGGTGTGAGCAGAGAGTGTGTCTCCGCCTCCAAGGAGTAAGTACAGTAATTCCCAGAATCCTCATGGCAAGGCCACGCCCACACAGAGGCCTCATTGGCTATGATCTGTTTTACAAGCTAGACTCCACCCCTACACTCTTAATCCTCAAATTGACAAACAATTAAATAACTACCACAATGTACACACACATTTGTAGACACAGTGGTCAGTAGAAGTAGTATGACTCTCAGATTAGTGTTTTGGGTGTATAAATAGTGTGCCACAAGTTAAGAAAATCTAGATACTCTGGGTAAATCCTAATTATGTGACATGAAGTGTTTCAAAAAACCTTTCAAATTTCAGGAGCACTTATTTTACTTATCAGGTACTTGTTTGTTTCAAAGTAAATTCCTCGAAAGATTATTTGCTTTTGTCAAGTTCTATTTCCTGTGCTGTAAATTAAGTAAAATAAAAAATGAGCAATGCAGTATTAATCAGAAATACTAATATCCCAACGGTGTTAGTTTAAGCAGTGATAATTAACAAAGAAAAGTTGTTTTCCCTCTTAATTATTCATGAGGTATTTTTGTGGGTCTTTCTTCCTCTGTTTAGAGAACCAGAGGACGGAAACGAAGCTTCGCGCATGAGGACGAGAAACATGAGGTTGGAATAAGTTAAGCATATTTCTAAACTTATTCTAAGACGTTTTATTGTGTACAACGTATAATGTTTTCCTCAGACCTTGACTTTGTTTTTGCTCTGCTTTATTTGATTCTTCCCTGTATGTCAGGAGAGAGCTCCTAGGGAAAGAAGACAAAGGCAGTCTGTATTACAAAAGAAGCCCAAGGCTGAGGATTTAAGAACTGAATGTGCAACTTGCAAGGGAACTGGAGACAATGAAAACCTTGTCAGGTAAATTGGATCCTGAAACCTTGCCTTTAGGGATTAAAGCTCCATCTTCATCATTTCTCATCACAGAAATAATGGGAAAAATCACAGGAGAGGACCTTTCTAAAAATCTTATATAGAGCAAACAGTATTTCACAAGCAGATTTCACTCACTAATTAGCCCGCCAATCATAGTTATAATATAGATTTAGATGTACGTAAGAGCAATATGGATTTTGAACATAAGAAAATTAATTTTCTCTTGACAAGAGAAGCTGATAATTAATGCTGTACGTCTGGAGGCAATACAAATAATTTGTTTCAAATACTTTGTAGTAGGATTATTGTGTTTTATCTCATAAGACAATGAAATTATTAAGCTCTGTTAGCGTATGAGAAAAGTTGAAATGTATTGGCAATGATGATAAAAGATAACTTTTATTGACATGAGCTTCATTAGCACTTCTTTATTGTTTATCAAATGAATGTGTTAAATGCTTCTTTCTTATGAAATAAAGAAAGGTGAAAAGATGGCTTAGATAGCTTTTGCTTTGTTTTGTTTTATTTGTTGTTTCTTTGTTTTAGTACTTTTTATTATTATTATTTTTTAATCGGGCATAATGCTAATGAGAAATCTCAATGGTGGCTTCACAGTGGCTCTTCCTGAAGGTCCAAAGAATGCCAGATTTACCAATTTGCTTTTTTTGCTGAAATAAAAAAGTGATCAAAGCCTTGGGTGAGATGGGAGAGTAGGCTGGAACTAGATGTGTGCTCCTTAAACAAAACGGACACTGCCCTTGCAAGCGACAGAGACACGTGCTAAGTCCATCCTTTCTGATTTCTTTCAAACACGCTTTGGCAAAACTATGATATGAAGGCATATAAATTAGACATTTCAAAAAGAAAAACCTATATAAAGAAAGAAATACTGTTTTGTGGTAGCAAATATTTGCTTCTAAAATAATGTCATTAAAATGAAATTTTTATGGTTTTTAATGCCTCAAAAAATGTAGTCTTAGATTTTGAGATCCTTATTCTATCATTGAAGTTAAGGAGAAAATAAAAATATATAGTGTTTCAGCAGTGTTCAGAAACTGCAATATTTGGTCAGTGTTTTTTGAAGTAGTTAGTGTAGAATGTCCTGGGAATTTTCATTTAAAGTTAGAGTAAAGTGGTTTCAAGATTAATATACATACAAATAATTCTGATCACCCTATAATTTGCTCACATAAAGTTTAAAAAAATCACTAGCAGAAGCATGATATAACTCAGTTCAAACAACAACAAAAATAGTAATAAGAAACATGAAAATCTTATGTAATGAGTGAATAAAAATCCTATCCAGGGGGAGTTCACATAGAGTTGTCTGGGATGGAGTTCTGGAGCAGGATTCATTTTTAGTAAGCCTTTAAAAGTTTGAGAGGGCTACTGATCTGGTTTTTAATTATTTGGACTTCCGTGAACATCAATCCTCTTATTTATTTTAAAAATAATATTAGATTATCTCAGGTCTCTGCTATACTCAACCGAAAACCTATTGCCTTTAAGTTGATTTCGACTCAGTGACCCTATAGGCTAAATAAAAATACTCCCTACGTTTCCAAGGATGGGAAGCATAAAGTCTAATCTTTCTCATGCAGAACACCTGGTGGGTTTGAACTGCTAACCTTCAGTTAACAGCCAAATTTGTAACCACCTAGGTCAACCAGGGCTCCCGTACAATATTACCCACTTTTGGGATCATATATTTGAAAGAAAGAGCCTTCAGAATCAATGCAGTTTGCATTTTAAGAACCGTTGTGTGTTCAAACAACAGCATTTCCCACCCCCTTTTTTTCTTAGCTATCCTTTAAAAAAAAGTACCATCATCCAATCTCGATAAGATTTTTGAGCAATATTAAGCTTTTTAGGGCTTATTTCCTTAATTTCTTTTATAAAAAATTAATTCCTAATTGCATTATTACAACATACCAGTGTGTGCAATGTTGTGAAAATCTTCTGAATGGTAAAGATATCTTTGTTACTGTAAGATATCTTTGATACTTTAAAAATCAATGACGTCCCTTGCTTTTGCCTTGTTAAAGAAAATCACATAAATTTGCTGCCGATATTTTAAAGAGCTCATGAAGAAGGAATTGATTGTTTTATCAGTATTATATAGCAATCTATTTTAGTTCAAGATAAACAATATAAAGCAATCCTATAAAAATGTTTTATGGCTATACTGTGGTCTTTCTGCTGATATATACATATATATAAACATATATATATATATATACACACACACACACACATATATATATATTTAGTTTCAGCAGTTTTACTTTGGGGGCAAAGAAGAATTTTATATATAATTACGTGTTTAATTAAAAGTAAACTTATAAGCTAATAGCTGCCATTTTCCCTAACATCTTTTATGTTGAAATTGACATTGCTACATTTTGCAAATAAAGGCCATTTTTTATGACATAGTTGCATTTTAAATATGTATGTTATTTTTCAACTTTAATTTTAAATTAAAAAATGCTTTATTTTTATTAAAGATACATTTCAGTGCTTGATCAGAAATATGTTATGTTGATTGAGTTTTTGTGTACTAGATTCTCTTTTATAATCTTTAATCTCAATAATAATTTCTTATTGCATATACTATATTTATTTTCCCAAGTTCCTTTGAGCAATTATACATAACTCATTAAGACCTGCTGTTTAGCAGCTTTGATTTTGAAACTACACTTGTCTATGTAATTCAGGCTACCATATATATAAAATTACTTCTTGTTTTCTTTGCTTTTATAATTATACATATGCTTATGTGTATTTACTCTTTTTATTCATTGGGAGCTTGCACTTAATTTGTCAGTAGACTGAGATTAGTGAGTTCCAATTGTTTTATGCTCTGCCTCTAAGTTTTTCTATCATCTTTGACAAATAATTTAGCATTTATATACCTCAGTTTTTCCTCTGTTTGTGACACAATTATATTGTGCTCATTTAGAGACTTCATGAACAATTGTGACATGATTGTAAAACCCTTTGTGTAAAAATATTAAGGTGATCAGATTATGTAGTAACTCAAAATATGCATATATGTATGTGTAAAATTAAAGGGCCAAATTGATTAATGTTTTCAGTAGTAATAAATACTTTTTTCATACCTTTAAGAAATGTATATGCTCAGATTTTCGTATATGATTGTGTGTAGAATATAGAAGACAGGAATAAATTTGAGATTTTCATTATATTTTCTCTAAAGTAATTAGATAACTGCTTCTACCAGATATAGGAGATGCAAAACTTTTTAAAGTTTTACAGGTGACTATATCCTGATCTCCTCTGGCTTCCCGATTGCCACGAGGGAGAGGCCAGACATGCGTCCACCTTCCATCCTTCTTTATCTTTTCAGACACCAACTGTTCCTCCCACGGCACTCGACTTCCTTGCTAGTTTCAATAATCTGTTGCAATAGCCACACAGAGGTCAAAGGCAAAACTCATAATAATGAAGGTTTATTAATGAAATTAACAAGTCATCACAAGTCAGGATCAGTAAACAGTGAGGGTACAGTCATTGACCCACAGCAATCCCTTTCTTTCGCCACTGCCATGTCGCCCTGTCTTTGGTCCATAGCCTCTCAGCCAAGAAGCCCAGTTGCCACTCTGCCTTAGCCCCATAGTCGGAGTGCTGCTCTTCTGCTCTGTTCTCATGTCTTCGTGCATCAGCCTTTGGCCTTGGACTAACTGCTTTTTGCTGTGTCTCGTGGTCCCTGTGGCGCAGCTTCTGTTGTTGTCTGGGGTGAAGCCTGGATCTCTATCTTTTTGTGTTGCACAGATCATGCTGCTTCTGATGGCCTGGGGTTGCTGTGTGCCCCTGATGGCTCTTACACACAGAGCAATGGCTTTGATGGAGGTCTGGTTTTTGTCTCTCAGCACACCATATCCCCAAGGAAACAAAAGGTGGTAATTTAAATCACTCCTACGATTAAGGTGGAGACTTAATCTCATCTTAATCTTCTCCATTAGTATAGCTTAGAACTCCCTCAACAATGCGAGCATAACCACAGGCATGAAGATTAAAATATAGAATACGTCACATAAGGGATTATAGCTAGAAGGTCCATATGAATTGACTACATCTTAGATGCTTTATAGAATTTTGCCAAATTAGAAAAATAATGCTTTTGCCATCCACTCTTGAAATTTATTTAAGAGTTACCTGTGAGATCTCCAATTAAAACTCATTGCTTACTTGTTATTGTCCCATCGATTCTAAGTCACAGCGCCCCTGGTGGGCAGCGTAGAACTGCCTCATTTGGTTTCCAAGGTTGTCATCTTGGGAGAAGCCGACTTCCTGATGGTTCTGCTGCAGAGACACTGCTGCATGGCTACTGCAGACCTTTTGGTTAGCAGCCAGGCGCTGTCTGGCTCAATTGAATGCTAATAGCCAAGTTGAACTTGTATCAATTATGAGGCCATCTGAGGCACAGGTCTCTGTGATGAATGTTCATTGTTGGGAGATTTGTGGTCTCTGCATGGCCATCAAGTTGAATTTGACTCATAGTGACACTTGACGACAGGGTAGCCCTGCCCATGTGGGTTTCTGAGACTGTAACTCTTCACAACGGTAGAAAGACTTATGTGGTTTTGAACTGTTGACCTTGAGGTTAGCAGCCCAATGTATTACATTACCAGGGTACCTACTTAATGATGTATCCCTGCTTTTTTGTTTTAAGAGTTTAAAATATTTTGTGCATGTATCTCGATTTTATTTCGACAGTTCCTGGCACATTTAATGCTCAGTAAAGGTTAACAAATGAAAGACTACATAAGTACCAACTAACAATTCTTTGCTGAATTAATAAAAAATTTACTACAGAGCAAATTGAGTCATTAAATATGTGTCTAATTAAGATATTTAAAAGACTTCATAAAGGACAGTTGCTTTATGTCACTAAAACAATATGCATGAATTTTTTCAATCTATTATGTAAGAAAATAGATTTGGAAATAGTTAATAGACCTGTA